CTGTAGTCCCAGCTACTTGGGAGGCTGAGGCAAGAGAATCGCCTAAGCCCAGGAGTTGGAGGTTGCTGTGAGCTGTGACGCCACAGCATTCTACCCAAGGTGACAAAGTGAGACTCTGTATCAAAAAAAAAAAAAGCAGCCAGGCATTGTGGCAGGCGCCTGTTGTCCCAGCTACTTGGGAGGCTGAGGCAGGAGAATTGCTTCAACCCAAGAGTTTGAGGTTGCTGTGAGCTGTGATGGCATGGCACTCTACTCAGGGTGACAAAGTGAGACTCTGTCTCTTAAAAAAAAAAAACTCCCCAAAGTATTAGTCTCATGGTGTTAGGTGTTTTGTTGTTGTTGTTGTTGTTGTTGTTTGAGACAGAACCTCAAGCTATCCCCCTGGGTAGAGTGCTGTGGCATCACAGCTCACAGCAACCTCCAGCTCTTGGGTTTAGACCAGGCGTCCTCAAATTACAGCCCACAGGCCACATGCAGCTGGCGTCCGACATTTATCCAGCCTGCCAGGTGTTTCTGCCGCTGCTGCCTGTCCTGCTTAGCTACCTACTCGTCCCGGGGCCCACAGTCTGGCCCTCCAACGGTCTGAGGGACAGTGAACTGGCCCCCTATTTAAAAGGTTTGAGGACCCCTGGCTTAGGCAATTCTCTTGCCTCAGCCTCCTGAGTAGCTGGGACTATAGATGCTCACCACAACCCCTGGCTATTGGCTATTTTTTGCTTGTAGTTGTCATTATTTGGCAGGCCGGCCAGATTCAAACCTGCCAGCTCTGGTATGTGGCCAGTGCCTTAGCCACTTGAGCTACAGGCGCCACCAGCTCTTAAAAGTTTTTGTTTGGTGCTGTGACTGTAGCTCAAGCAGCTAAGGCACTGGCTACATACACCAGAGCTGGCAGGTTCAAATCCAGCACGGGCCTGCCAAACAGCAATGACAACTAGAACCAAAGAATGGCTGGGTGTTGTGGCAGGCACCTGTAGTTCCAGCTACTTGGGAGGCTAAAGCAAGAGAGTCACTTAAACCCACGAGTTGGAAGTTGCTGTGAGCT